GRMMWTKRAAAAAWKRAAWYMATCAGCTTTTCTCCTTAGCATTCCCTAAACTATTTAACATTCCCTCATAAACTATTTCTGCTCGCTCAGCAACAGGAACCCCGCGATAACTCAATTGTTAAAAGTTGTGCATACAGTTAATAGCCGACTTGCGAATGTCGCCYTTGTTGTCACCACACACAAAGRAATCAATACAAGACGCCGTGCATAAACCTCAGTCATTTGTACAAAGACAATAGTTTTTCACGAGTGACGTTTACGTACGACGCCTAGTCTTGATTCCTTTGYGTGTGACAGACGGCTATTGAGGATTGAGTCAGTAATAAAGAGAAAATGAATACAAGGGAAGTGTCATGCGCTCTAGAAGCCTTCTCAAATGTCAAAAATAACGTCTAACTACCGTTCATARCGATAAAAGATCTGATTGATTGGAATCTGATGTTAAGCTTTGATGATGATAGGATAAACGAAAAAGAAAGCTGAAGTCTCGCTATTTTGACTTTTGAAAGGAATTGACMTTTGAAAGCATGAAATACGTAAATAAAAGAAAAAAGGAACGCGTTTTAGAGGCTMTTTAGTCTATAAACTTGAGAAATAGCCTCCTGCGCAGACGGCTCACTTCTTATTTCTACTATTGGGGTTCCTTGCTCATGATGACAGAGGGAGACTGTGACACAACAGAAGCAAAAACACGGATAAAGGCCACCAAAGGTATCCCAAAATGTCAAAATAAAGTGCCCCTGCTGTTATATCGTTGACATCTTAAAATCGGACTTCTATACACTAGAGTTTGTCAACAGAGGAACAGGTTATGTGACAACAAGTTAACCAGACTGTGGAAAGACCACTTGTATCCATAATAAAACAGTTTTTACCACACTCTTTCTTGATCTCAGACAGGAATATAGGATTCCAAAATGGGCTGGAATAAAGGTAATTGAAGTAAATCATAACATTTTTTTCATCGCATTGTTGCAATCATAAACTCGGATTATTTACACAATATTTCTCGGYACAGACAAAAGTCAAAACAACTATTTTTTTAAGCCTAAATAGCTTCTTTCAAAAAGGTTGCTATAAAAAGACTGGTTTTGTACCAAACGTTAGTRTGCATTTTGGTAATTGTTTTGACCACCCACAATTACAATTGATTACATGTAAACGCGGGGTACGGATTTTTATCTTCTAGTGTTGAGAAGATCTTCAAAACGAGAAGATAAAATTCGTATCTCCAAGCGACCATGTAATATAGCCCGTATTTTTTTTTGTTATCTGACAGCAGTTGTTTTTGTTTTGATGACTATTTTATCAAATATGAACGAAATCACAGCTGTATTTAACCAAATTAATATCTAAATAACAGAATGGTATAAAAATCRTTGTTGAAATTTCAATAAGGGGTGTATGAGCCTGTTATGGATGCTATTGAGAAGGCGATATTTTGAAGAGCACAAAACGAGACAAACAAATCAATCATRAAAACTAAAATCAAAATCGCATCGTTCAACACAAACAATATAGAATGGATACTTCTAGCATTACGTTGCATTTTCGATCCGAAATTATAAATTATGCGAGGACAAGCCTCGATATTTTGAAAATCAATATGAGTTATTGATTCAAAATGCTTATATTAGTAATAATAATGTTTTTAAAAGTCAAAACAAGTCAATTCAACTGTATAATTTCCAATGTAAAATTTTAAAAATAGCTGGGATTAATTATATTTTACTTTTTTTCATGTTCTTAATAAATAATGGTGTAAAGGGTCACTACTGTTTGCTCTTTTGKTGTTTGGGATCAATGGTTCAACCAGTTTACCAGGTAATAGAGTCGTATTTTTGTCACCCTAAACATAGTTGAACGAATAAATACACTTATTTCAAAAAATGTTGTCGTCACCACGACACAGTCCACAGTCTTAAGCCTGCAAAGAATCTCGGGGTTTCCTAGTCTCTTTTAACAGTCGCGACTTCCGCCGGAAGTCGCGGCTGTTAAAAGAGACTAATATTCGCTTCGAGACCGAGAGTGGCCAGTTTCGAATTCTCCAATGCTCTATGTTAGCCTCATTTGTGCGCAATATATTCGTAATTGTGAGAATAAAAGTGTGAAAATTTCAAATCAATTTTATTGTCTCTCTCAGTTCAAATTCCATGCGTTTTCTCGGGCTATCAATAAATTAAAAAAAGARTATGCTGCTTGGTTTTAAACCAGAACTTTAATTATTTATGGTAATCCCGAGATTCTTTGCAGTCTCAAGACCGTGGACTGTGTCCTGGCGACGACAACGTTTTTTGAAATAGGTGTATATGTCAAACCATCATGGCCGCCATCTTGAATACTATTGTTCAGTAAGAAACTATTGCATAGTCGGTTGGGGCAATAAACATTATTCTATTGCATTATTCTATTGAATTGACAGGATTTTAGTTCGTAAAAACAAATAATAACAAAAAAAAAAGCAAAAACGAAGATAAACAGCAACAGAAAATAAAGAGAAAACCACAGTTAAAAACAAGACTTATCATTAAAAAAATAATAAAACAAAAAACAAAAAATATTCAAAAAATAATAGTAAATAATAATAAGGCACCGAGAATACCATGCAGCACACATTCTAAAGATAATAATACCATTTTCTTATTTYAATAAGACCGCGAAGACCACAACGTGGAAAGAGAGGAAGATTTTTCCAATGAAAAGCGACAATCTGTCCCTAAAGACGATTTAGGTATGAAAKCTACCTTATTCTGAAATTATAAATGTCCCCCTCCCCCCCATCAATTTTAGTATTTGAAGACATCAGGATAATCGCCCCTTTTTACAACGGACATATTTCCGACTGTCGTTAATTTTCCGCAATAGTGAGTTTCCAGAGATAAAGGAATCATTTCCATTTACTCCATCGAAAAGAGCTATGTCTGTGTTTCTAAAGAAACAGTTGTGTAAAAAGATAAATTTAACACCGTAAAAAAGTAGGTAAGACTACTTACTGACGTTTTTTTTTTGCATATTGGTTTTACAAAATATTACTTTTTAAAAAGAAAAAGAAAAAAGATTAAAATCCCCCCCTCCCCCCCAAAAAAAGAACCCCCAAAGAAAGTGCCCAAAATATATATCTTACTTTCTCGGTGTTCTCTCGAACAAAACCAACCAAAATAATTTTGGCTAGACTACGTGATTATTATTCCACCATGAATAATTGTTGACACTAAACACTGTTCTTATAATTTCTTAGTCATTGACTTTGAAGATCAGACGGACAAAGACAACTACTTCAAAATAAAACCAGTCCTTACCGGACATAGTTACTCCCTGTCTCCCGATCGATACAAAAGCGGCAGTAAATCGCTGAAATGGGTGTGGCCTTCATTARCACAACCAAAAGGGGCGATGCTCACACTCTCCTTTGGCTCAAAACCGAGAGGTGGACGCGAGATGTATCGTGGAGGCATGAAATTCTGGATGTACCGTGGAAGTAAATCGCCGGCATCGTCAATGGAGATCGTCTTTGTAGGCACCGATAGAGCGAAACGAATTTCCAAAAGCACGCCAACCAAGGTTAAATTGTCTTTTAAAGGATGGCGGGCTGTTTGGATCCGTTATAGTGAATTCCCACAAGGACAGTTCAATTTACTGACGTTGACATCGATTGAATTTTCAGTCACCTCTTCTGACGCTGATGAATTGTACATCGACTTATTGCAAGCAGTACAGTCGCTTTCTACACAGACTCGTGATTTAGTCGTAGAAGCAGTTGGTAATCCTTCGCCCACTTCTCCACCTTTCTACACAGAAAAATACTTTTGGCAGCAGTCGCTCCGTTGGTATAAGTCCAAAACTGCTRCACCCCCGACCGTCATACCCGATAGAGCTAAGAAGATCAGTGATATCGTTAAAATTGAAGATAGACTCGAAAATTGGTACGCTAGCACGTCACAGGCTGTGAATTCCCTCGCAAATATGCCGGGGAGTGTTGGGTATGACTTTGAAGGCGCAAAAAAGAGCCGATGGGAAGACCTCGTGAAGAACATCAAAAAAGCACATGACAATTATCAGAAAATCGATTTCCAGAAAAACCGCCCTCCACTTTTCGCATACGAGTCAAACTATGGTGAKAATAAAATTAAAAAGGGTGCAAAAGCAATGTCCAAATTTGGTGCGTTCATGACAAATGTTCTTCTACCACTTTCGATCGAATATAACTTCATGAGCAGAGAAAAAGAAAAGGGATATCTTTCTAAGATACACTGCCAGGCACTGGTGWCTGGAAAAACAAAGGAAATGAATCATGCCATAAAGCAAATTKCTGGAAAAAATTCATTTATGAAGACAAAGTTTGAAAAGATGGTTGATAAAGCCAAAACAAGACCAGGAATTCCCCTAAATTGTAACGAGACCAACGGACGTATGACTTCGATGGARGCTCTTCTTGACGAACTAAACGCTTTCCGTTTTGAAAGAATTAAAACGCTACTCGAGTATTTAAAGGATCAAGGTTGGGCTGAAGGGAGTTCCAGCGGCTCACTTTCATTCCAGATGAACAGGTGTGGAGCTGGGTTTATGCATTCCATGTTCTTACTGAGAGCCAAGCTCAGAAAAGACACAAATCTTCTCGACGATCTAGTGGGTGCTATGAAATGGTACAACGATTTTAACGAGATCTACCAAGATGATGCTAACTACATCTACGATGGAACAACTGCAGATCGCATAAGAACAATCTTTTTTTATCGATTGATGATTATATTGATAGACAACAGAAATCAGGACCAACAGATTACTGATTTGGACTATTATAAAACATGGGTCAAGCACGCTTTTACTGTCAACAAAGGCCTCGGTGGACTTATCAAACCGGATTATACCGGTTTCCATCACAAGACGTTCTATGGGTCAGCATATGTCATTCAAGCCCTCACTAACGGAGCACTTGCGCAATTCCTTCTTGACGGTACCAGCTTTTCATTAGATCAAGTAACCAAGGACAAYATTCGCAAAACTTTAGGAATCATGCGGATTGTGGCCAATGTATACTCGACTCCAAATGGTATCAACGGCCGTTTCCCTGGCTATTACAAAGCCAGTCTGAAAAAAGCCGTCCCAGCGTACGCCTATAGTTGTTACGTTCAAGCACAAGGAACTATCCCCGAAGGGGTGGACAGACCCGAGATGTTTCGCAGACTTTTCGATACAGATGAAATGGACTCGTACCTTAAAGCAGGGAAAATCAAATCGGCAATACATTACTGGAATACCATTGGGGAAGTAGACGTTTTAAGGAAGGCCTCGAATTATACTAGCACATCAACCTGTAAAGCAGAGGAAGCTCCATCGGGACACTGGAGCAAGAACTTTGCAGCTTTATCTATCCATAGGCGAGAGAAYTGGAGTGTGGCTGTGAAAGGGATGAGTCAATATACTTGGGATTATGAAGATAGTGGAACTGAGAACGTGTTTGGTGTCTTTGCTAGTCACGGATCCCTTCAAATATCGAACAGCGAAAGCGCATTAAAAGCCTATGACGTWGATAACGGTTGGGACTGGACACGTGTTCCCGGTACGACAACAATCAAGTTGGAAATAAGTCAAGCTCGAACTAGTAAAGCAAGGAACTACAACTACGAAGGGAAGATAGCTGGGGGTGTGAGTCTTATCGGGTCACTTGGTGGAAACGCTCAAAATGGTGCTTTTGGGATGAATTTCAAAAAGCCTGAATATAAAATGGAAGGGATTTTAAAGGATACACCCTTAGACAAAGCAACATTCGAGTTTAAAAAATCTTATTTCTTCTACGACCACTTGATCATATGYCTTGGAAGTAGTATWAAGCTTGAGGGGGTTGACCTCARTACTAACTACGCRCAAACMACMATCTTCCAAGACAAGCTCYTGGACGCCACCCAAAGCACTATAAAAGTGGGAGTGAATAACTATACCCTGACAACTGGACTTAAACTGGATAATGCGCCAAATCCAATCCTTGAGGACACAAATGGGAACGTGTACAAGGTAGAAAATGGAGATAACGAGGTCAAAGTGGAAATTATTAAGGACCAGAGCTCTATAAACTCAAACGGCAAAGACAATACTAAGGGGGACTACGCTGTTGCGTATTTTAAGCATAAAAAATCGGGTTCGAGCAAAAGATACAGCTACAAGTATGSCGTACTTGTTGCAGGTGGCGATAATTCGTTACTTGATAAGTACAAAGTTATTCACCAAAAATCCAAGGTTCATGCAATCGAGATCGATAACCCCCCCGGTTTAGAMAATGGAGCTAAAGTCTATGGCTATTCAGTTTTTAGAGACTTCAAATCCTCGTCCCTCATWGAAGGACCTGTGAAGAGTGTAAATTCAAGGTGTATGATYATGGYGGAAAAGACTGACACCAAACTATATTTTGCCATCAGCGACCCTACTGTGAATCTTGAAGCGGATGCCGAAATGGGGACAAAGAAAACATGCACCGTGYCAGAYAGAATAGAGTACGAAAAGCCTTTTAATCCCAGGAAATCTGATGATGTTGGTTCAAAGTTGATGTTYTGYGTCGAAGGAAAACCWARYACAAARSCAGTWGTGGTCACYTTTAACCTCAAAATTGAAAAAATAAACAACGTGACGGTTGATGGAGAGGCGTCAGTTGATATCGGCAAAGARGTGGAATTAGATAATACATCAAATCCCCTCGAGTCCACTCTGACCTTCAAAAACCTTGTAAACGGCTTTTCTACCGAAGTTTCAATGACTGTAACCAGTCAAAGCTCAGTAATGATCACGTGATTGAATCAAATTAAAATGGCTTCCAATAGAAATTGAAAATACTATTGTAAAATAGAAAAAAGAAGAGATTATTTTACTCTCGATTGTAAACGAGATCCAATGTAAAATAGCTTATAATAAGAAAAACATAAAAATGAAAAGTAAAGTCATACTAAAAAAATATAAAATCTATGAACTTATTCGAATTAATGAAAATGAAAACGTGTGATAAAACCGATTCTATAATCTACCGTCACTAACAGCGTGTAGCATAGAGCCTTGAGTGTGTTTCAGAACGCTTTAAGAAACCTTCTAATTAAATTTTTCCCTTTCAAAGTGTTTGGCCGCTGTTTCGCTTGACAGCAGGCTCTATTGCACAAAGACRCCATAAAAAACAAATCAACAATAAGAATAATACTGGAATTTCTTCAAATTTGAGTCTAGCTATTTTCGCGAAGCTTCAGTCATCAAACTAATTCTCGGGATTCATTGGGATTTTAATACTCACCAATGAAACAGTATTCCTATAAGTTAAGATCCAATAATNCTGGACTACGATTTCTGCGTATTTTTTGTGTACTAGATTTTCTGTGCGCACTACGTATTCTGTGTGCTCTGCGTATTTTCTCTCTGGACTACGATTTCTGCGTATTTTTTGTGTACTAGATTTTCTGTGCGCACTACGTATTCTGTGTGCTCTGCGTATTTTCTCTCTGGACTACGATTTCTGCGTATTTTTTGTGTACTAGATTTTCTGTGCGTACTACGTATTCTGTGTGCTCAGCATCGCTTTCGGTGGGCTCCTAAATTTATCCGTGTGCAGAATACGTTACCTATGTGTACTACGTATTTTCTCCATGCAATACGTTTCTACGTGCACTACGTTTTCGCTTTAAAGAACGCGTACGTTTTTTAACATATACACCATTATAATTTTTCACTGCAATTTAACGCATTAACATTTTAGGGTTTTCACGCACTAAAAACAAAGTTCTATTAACAAATATGCTTTAGAAGTCTAAGGAATATATTCAAGTATAAAACAACTTCAATCAAGTTTTATTCTCAAGCATTTTATTACTTAGTTGCAAGAAGGAAAAAAAATTAAAGAGTTAMAAAAAATAAAGATTTTCAAAGAGTTAAACATTATGACGCACAAAGTTGTGTTCTCGATGAATAGCTAGGAGCAAAGTTGTGTTCTTGCTGGAGAGCTATGAGCAAAGGGAGTGGACTTAGCCCATCCCTTATTTTTATACAACAGTAAGATTTACCTGAACTTGACACGTGTCTAGSCTCAAACGAGATTACGTTCCCGCAGTTTGCCAACTAAGGTATTTTTAAAAAAATTATTCGTTGTGTTCATAATTTTGGTTTCACACTAAAGAAAACACAACTAGGTTTGGAACCTTTTATTTTTCATTTSTTTTCACTTGTTTACATACATCTTAATTAACTACCGGATAAAAGAGCTTCAAATKTGATTACGAGTACGAGTTACAAGTTCAAACACGAATTCAAGTCTAATTACGAGTTGTAAATACAAGTACGAGTAAAAAGCGAGTAGAAAACAAGTAAGAGTTAATTATCAAACAGRGCTTCTTACTCAATTATTGTAATCAAATCTAAAGTTCTTATGAGAAATTTCCGCGCAGTGAATTTTGTTTCCGTTTTCAGCCGTTACTATAAGAGTGCTCTTGAGGTGTCTAACCTCTTCGTACACGTTGGCACTTTCTGCTTAGACAGCTGATGAGTGAGTAGCATTTGAATTTGGCAGGGTAGCATCTGCGCACGTAGTGGCA